CAGGTCAGGGTTCAGGCCATTACGATTCTTATTAGGCCTCTTCAGAATACTTTTAGCTGATTCACAATCAGGTCTGATGAGGCTTTCTATCAAATGTTTCCCAACTACTGACATTTCTAAGAAAAGTCTCAGGACATACATGCATTCAATGACTTTTGGTTGCTCTTAGTGGTCTTAATATTTTGATCTCTTGTGCCTATTTTATTGTAGACATTGATTTTATCCCGTTTTCTGTCTTACTTTTTGCACATATTTGTGACATTGCCTGTCACTTTGCTCTACTCTGATTGTTTTAAAACATGCCATATACAGAAGATAAAACATAACAGGATTTTATTTAAGCAGAATGTACTTCCCTGCCTCCCTTTTACATATTTGGGGTAAATCCCAACTCCCATAATCGCATCTGTGTTTGCCTCTTGTCACGAGACAAGAGAAAACGAGGAGATTTGTTTTGTGAAGAAACGAGACGTCCTTTCTCCGAACATCACTTCATCTGAAGTGACGTCCATGTTTATGATGACGGTGGCACAGCTGGATGAGCTGTCAGTCGCATTTCAGAAACCCTGTGGCGACTTTTGTTGGTTTACAGTTTGGATTCACTCAAACGCTCACTGCTCAAATACTATTTATGTTGCACAGACACCATCATCCACACAGCATCCTCTGCACTGTATGTTTGAATATGTTTATGTAGTGTGACAAACATCTAAATGCACATGAAGCATAGACTCTTTCAAAACTTGCATCTGGATTTGTTGATATTGTTTGTTTCATTATTTAATCTTCCCAGTTGCAGTCAGAATGTTTTACAGAAATAATTGATTAAGCCAGATGTTTTAGACTCGTAATTAAAAGAGGAAAAAAGGAGATCATGAAGGGAAAAATCTATCTAATTAAAGTTCTTGCTTCTTTTCTCAGTCAGACTGCTGTGATGTTGTGGTTCCTCCTTCATGACTCCGTAGAGATAAGAAAAAAAAACAACTGAAGAGCTTTTGGACAGCCTTCAAGATGGAGGACTGGAATGATTTCTGGGTCAGTCGAGGAGCAAATAAGGAAATTGGGATGTACGAGTAGATTCAAACGCTGGAGACATCAGAAGATGCTATTCTTTATAAAGCAAACTTTGGGGAAACATGCTGCTGCAACCCAAGACTGTTTAAAGACTCAAAAGTTTCCCAGCAGCACAACGTTTTTAAAAAGAAAAGAAAAGAAAAGAAAAGGAAAAGCTCATTGCTGTGTTTAATAGTGTCCCATTTTTTAACAACACAACTTTAATATGCTCAGCCAGAGAAAATATGCACAGAGATGATTTGCAAAGTTAAACAAACTACTTTAAAGACTCCCTCTGGTGGAACCGCCTTGTTAAAATGTCCATATGGTGTTTTTTTTTAATAAGCTAGGAGACACATAATGAGCAAAATACATCTGAGCATGAGATAGATAACTGAGATGCCAAAATTATTAAGATTAGAAAAAGATTTTGTTGTTAAGTGACAATATTTTTAACCCTTCACGACACTTAAACCTGCAATGACAGGTGTTTTTGGCCACTTGGGGGCAGTGCAAACAAATTGTTAACACAACACGAACATGTGCTCAACTTTTAAAAACCTCCTCCAATGAAAACAAGTTTTTTTAAACATGTCTATGTGGTGTATTTTATATGCATCATGAGCAAAATAAGTAGTGAACACCGTTTCTGAGCATTTCTGCCTTGATGCCACAGTGTACTGATGACGGTGTCAAAAGCACGGATTCAGACTTTTAGTTTTTCATATGTAACAAACGTACAAAACTAAACCTTTCAGGGTGGGATCTTGAGTTCACGTTACACCACAGAATTTGCTCTCAGCTCCTAAATCGCAGATACGAAACATTTTTTTGTTTTCAATTTCTACAACTAGCGTATGAGCACATTAGAAATAAATTCGGGCTGACTGTCTGGGTCATGTCTGCCTCGGTTTGGCCCAGTCTCAAGAGATGTGACGTAGGTTTAGGCCAATAATGAATTCAGAGGTTACTCTGATGCAACTGATTGCAAGCAAACTGTGCTTTTTCTCCCACTTGGCTTGAGTAGGATTTGATTATCTTGACTGTCTCTAATTGGTTGCTTGAAGATCCCTTGAGTTTGAAATTTTTGGGGTTTTTTTGTTAACATGTCTATAGATATAGTGTTTTGTTTTTTTTTTTTTCATGAGCAAAGTCAATACCACGGATGTTCTTCTGTATTTTCACTCTCTTCAGAATCAGCTTCTGGCCCAAATATGTATTCCAGTATCGCAGCTTGCTGGTCTAGAGTGTAGAGCAGTTTTACAGTGTGTGAGCTGGTGTGCTCCAGTGTTCTGCAGCGAGCAGTAAATAGAAGCTTCTACTTGGAGAAAATAACAGTGTAGCGTCACATCGAAGCCATTTTAAGGCAGGAGTGGATTATTTTCTTGCAAAAACCTTCTAAACATGTACGTTCAATGCGCTGAGATTAGTTTTATGGGTTAAATCAATGACCAGAGAATAGCTTTGTGAAATTTCTGCCCAATCAGAGCTGCATTCCAGGTTTGTTGGAGTCAATAAGAAGATCTTAAGGTTTATGAGTTCAGAATATCCTTTTATAGATTCGGAGCGTGGAAAGTTAACTAAACTAGTCTTTATTTGTGCAGTAAATGGTTTTTGCACTCGTATCTGCGAAGGTGATGCTCTCCAGAGTCCCATTAGAAGAACTGGACCACATTCATACTGCTGCGATTAGACATCATACTCTGGCTCACAATTGAACCGCAGGCAGCGATTCACAAACAGCTAAAGTTTCACAGGAAACATTTTCACATGTCGAGTTGGTGTCAAAGAAATTGTCTCGGTTTGATTTATGGAAGACTTTGAAAGATTTACTCTGTTTTCGATGCAGCTTGATGAACAAGCCAGTTTCTCTCTCTCTCTGTTTCTCATACACTGTTTTATACAAGTTAAAATGATTCCTGTGCCAGTAACGTCTGAGTCTTTTATGATGAGCCGTGACTTAAAGAGGGCTGCAGTTCAACAGCACCACCAACATTTCCACACAGGGACTACAGCGAAGGAATTCAGCTTAAAATACGACTACTTTTTTTTTGTTATTAAAGCATTGCATGTGATGTGCAATGTTTAAAAGGTATGCACATCCTAAACAATGCTTTCATTTGTGCAGTGACTCATCTGATTTCAGTTGTTTTTTTTTGTTTTATTTTGTGCGTGCGCGTTCTGTACTCTGGCAGAGCTGCTGCAAATATTCTGTCTCAGTGAGAGAGTCTTTGAAGCGAAAGAATAAGGTTAGACCACAAAGCCCTAGAGCAAAAAAAAAAAAAAAAAAGCAAGGAGCACACAGTGGATGCTGTATTTATTGTATTTCACAGAAACAGGGAGTGTAAAAACGATGTGGGGTTGGCAGAAAGAGGTCTGGGAATTTATACTGATTGTATTTCTTGCAGCCCAGAAGGGGAAAGTAAAAGAATTGTGACTTTATAGCACACAAAAAAAAAAATCCCTGAGCTTCAATTATTTTGCGATGCCACGTCTGTTCGTGTCTCCTTTACATTGCTGCTGCGTTGAAACGAATACAAACCCTGATTTTTGCATTAAAAAAATAGTCTTTTGGCTACTTTGAAATCGACAATTTATCAGTGAGGTGCCTCTGGGGAAATCACAGGTGTATTACACAGATGGAGAGAGTCTAATTGAGATGCTGAGAGCTTACAGGAGGACAGAGGAAGGAGATCTTCGTACACATGTGTGTTATTGTATTGGTGCCTATGGGCCTCCTCCATGCCGTTAACTGTGGAAGAGCTGCCTGCCTGCCTCCCTCTCTGCCTGCATGCATCATTAAGCTGACCGACGCTGTGCTGGATGTGGCTGTGCGCAGGAGAACACAGACATAAACAAGCTCCAAGCACCTCGCTAATGCTGTTTGTCTTCTTTATGGCCCATTTTGCACGTTGAACATGGATGTGGCTGAGCGGAGCTCTATTAGGATAATTAAAACAGGAGCCGGTTGACCTTTTGCTCCGTTTGTGGTCATTTTCTGCAGTGTTTTTGGAGTTCATTAGCGATACTTTCCCCAAAAAATCTTTATAAATGGCCATTTTTGAGCCTTTTTATGTCTTTTGCAGACCTATTCAAGCTTCGCCATTCTTTGTAACACCTCAGGCAAGAGAAAATTTAAGAAAAAAACACCCTAAAGAGCAGAAGGAAATGATTGCGTTGCTTTATGATCACCATAAATTGCGTTTTATGTCTTCACGCTCTCTCCCAGGAGTGCTGTTTTACTGACTCCAGTGATCTGTGGTAGTGTGTAGTGTGAAGCTGCCTCTCACCACTGAGTCACTGAGCCTAACTTTCCTCCTCAGGGGGACCGTCGCTCTGTCACATCCACTTACTGACACGCACCTATCTGTCCAGGTGTCACCGGCAGCTGGAAAAGAAGCTGAAGCCGGCTGGGACTCGGCAGCCTTTCCCCCCTCTCTCTTATCTAACTGGGCTGAGGCGCACCAGCCCGGCTGCCACTCAGCCCCGCCATCCTGCAGCTGGAGGATTATGGTAATGCTACCTTAAGCCCGGTTTGTTTAACAAGGCGAATATGTGTAGTGGGACCTGCTTACAATGAAGCTTTGAATAAGAAAAAAATACATGTTAATTTTAACCTTTGATATGCAATTTTCCAGTTGTTTCTTCCACTTGGGGGCTCAAATGAGAAAATAATGAGCATAAAGATAGAAGCTGTCAGTCAAGAGTGCAGTCATTGTGCGCAGAAGAAGTGGTTCCTTAAGCTGCAATTTGCACAAACTGCGTAAAGAAAGTGTTCTGGGGTACAGTGTCGATCCAATACAGCAGCAGGAGGTCTCGTAAGTCACAATCATGTTTTATTGCATTGCTTTATTGGTGACATTAGGTGGGTTTTACGCACAGCATGCGCACCTGCTCCTTCACTCAGTTTTCAGGGAGTTGCTACCATCAGAGAGGTTCAGGCTTACCTTTATGAGCTTGCACCTGATCTGTGCGGACACCATGTGGCTGTTCCGCAGGTTGCCCACCCGGAACATGAGGCACAGTTTGCCGTCTCGCTGAGAAATCACAGCGTCCTGGCTGAACATGAGCGTCTCTGCGCGTTTCTTAGGTTGAGACATTTTTATGAACATGCAGCCGATGAGAAAAGCGTCCACTATGGAGCCCAGTAGCGACTGGAACAAGAAGAGGATGATGCCCTCCGGACACTTCTCCGTGATGTACCGGTAGCCGTAGCCGATCGTGGCTTCGGTCTCGATGAAGAAGAGAAAAGCTGAGGGGAAGTTGTAAACATTGGCCACGCAGGGAGTGTAGGACGCGTCGTGGCCGTGATTTAGGTCTCCCCTGATGTACGCGATGATCCACCACATCGATGCCATGACCAGCCATGCGATGGTGTAAGTGAGGATGAAGATGAGGAGGTTCCATCTCCACTTTAGGTCCACCAAAGTGGTGAAGAGGTCAGAGAGGTACCTGCTGGTCTCCCCGCCGAGGTTTCCGTGCTGCACGTTGCAGCGTCCGTTCTTCTCTACAAAGCGCTGCCGTTTCTTCTTCACCGGAGCGGTGAAAGTAGTGGCCCGGTTTGTGTTAACCACCTGGTAGTCCTCGCCAAATTTTCTACGAAGTGCCGCCATTTCGGCTCCACTGAAGTAAAAAGAGAAATATGCTCAGTTTAATCCATGTTTCTGTTGGTTTTAGGCTCCAGAACGCTGGTTACCTGCAGTGCGTAAAATGCGCCATGGCCACTTTAGTGCGCGCAGTAAATCCTGTGAATTAACCAAAAAAATAAAAATAAAAAGAAGCGTGTTTCTGTGCTGTTAAAGCACAGTTGTTATTCCTTTATTCAAAAATGTCCACAGTTCCTCCAGTACTTTGACATGATATCAGAGGATCGCTGGCTGCAGCTGTGCGCTCTGCTCAGCCTCCACTCGCTCTGACTGGCGCGATGCTCACCAGTGGAACGAAATACGAGGATCTGTGTGCCATTCACAGCTTCTGGTGGGCTGGAGAGGATAAAGAGGGAAGTGTGAGAGGAAGAGATGTGAAGAGAGGGAGGGAAGGGGGCAGGGAGGGAGGAGGAGAGAGTTACACAAGACGAAATAAAAAAGAGAGAGAGAGACAGAGATGTGGGCAGTTTGACTCTTCACCTGTGTTTTCTGTCAATTGAATCAGCGTGGAGATCAATTAATGTATTAATCAGTGAGTTCATCAGTTCCTTCACTCATCCTTATATGTGCTCACATTGGCTTTGTCCTCCTGTATGATCAACAGCAGTGAGAATCTGATGAAGTGATGAGGTTGGAGGATCTTTGTACTGTTAAGTTAGACTGTGCCATCTACTGGATGGACAACCGATGTGCGTATTTTAACTAATAGTTGGTGTAATGAGGAAACGTATTCTCACGGAGGTCTTGTGGCGATGTTCACAGAACCGTGCTTCCTGGAGGAGCCTTTAACAGCTCAGCACAGCATTTGCACTTTATTTAATTGCTTTATTTTTTTTATCATTTGTTTCAAAAATTACTAGAAATAATTTTTGCACTGAATTTTCTCTACTGTGGGGTTGTTGTTGTTGTTGTTTTTTACATAAATGATGACGATCTTTTAAACAATGTTGGATGCAAGTTTTAGAGATGGGTTTTGTATATTTTGGAAAATTAGGATCTTGTCAGACTGTCAGCACCACTGCCAAGGTCCCTGTTTGCACAAATGTAAAAAAAATAAAAGTTTCTCAAGTTTATTTGGAAACATCTACAAAATTGTCTATTATTTTTTTATGTGTGATGGTGAAATATTCCATAATAAGAGTGGAGGTTTGTGTGTAACCTCTGCTGTAAGGAAGGAACAACTTTCAGTGTGCAAAAATGAAGACAATGTTTGACTGTAGAAAAGATGACTTATATTTCTAAAATTTCAATACAATAGAAGATTGAACAATATATATATGTAAAAATATAAAAAATATGGAACAGTCTCAAGAATATGAACTCAAACGGCTCCTCCTCGGTGGCACAGATGAGAAATCTCAATAAGTTCCTCTCGTCTCTTCGACTGTATTAACTAACTGGATTTGTGCTTCAGCTAACCTGAGCGAAACTGCTGAAGCTGATTCCACCGAGCTAACAATGTCAACAATGCCTTTAAAAGAAGAAGAATACATTTAAATGGTAAGTATTTTCCTTAAATCGCATTATCTGAACTTCTTGCCTCAGATTACGTTTTACCGCTCGCTGCCCAAACCATTTGCTTTGCTTTGTCCCTTTTAAGTCTGACATTAAATCAGTGCTTCTGCTCTTTGCTCTGAAGCCTCCGTATTGATTTAGACATTGGACGGCTGCTATAGTGGAGGATTTCCTGGATACTGTTCTCCCAAAGGATGATCACAAAAGGGATGGGTCGGCCTTGGATTTCTCCTGCTCTGGTTTTAATCAGACCACACATAAAGGTGGAGTGCTGTTATGAGAACTAATTAAAGTTTCTATCGCACAGGTACAGTGAAGACCCTTTTCCCTGAGCTCATTTCACCACAAAACCTCAACTCCAGTGTTTTTATTTTTATTTATTCAGTGCTTTTAACGTGAGCTGAGATGCAGTGGGTTTGTATGATGAAGGAATTGCTCTTAAAAATCCTAAATCAGCTCATTACATCATTTATTGATGAAACACTCAGAAGATCCTCTTTCAATGTATTTTCAGCACCTCATCAATAAATGATGTAATGTCTCATTTTGGATCTTGGTTTTAATGATTGTTGGCCTCTGTGTACTTTTTTTTACTTTGCTGCTTTGGGGAGAAAAAGATAAAATATCAGATATTAATAATAATTTTTGAACCAGATTAAACTCATGCAACACTTCTGCAAGACGTCCCGCTTTCATGAAAGTTCAGTTTTTGTCCAACTGAAGCAGTTATAGAAGCCTTTTGAGGCAATTGAGCTGTGTTAAGCATTTGAGTTCTTTGTCCTTCTCTTATTTATAAAAATGGGGTAGACAAAATAATAGAAACACCTCTCAAAGGTCCTCAAAAGGTCAAAAATATCTAATCAGTCCTAAGAAGCAAAAAGACAAGCATAAGGGTGGAACAGTGCAAATCTAATGGCTTCAAACCCCTAAATACCAAGAACCAGACATGAATGTACTGAATATTTTATTTAGTTAAATCTACACTTCCATCATCTCCGTATGAACACTTTTTGTCAGGCATATAAACAATATTTCTCTCTTTCATGTTGTTCTGTTTTTTCCACCGTTTCTTTTTTGGTGTTAGTAGTTCATCTGGTGGCTGTTATTGTATATATTATTATTGTATGTCATGACTAACAGCAGCAGCTTTTGTCCCTTTAAAGACAACAAAGGTTATCATATCTTCAAAACAAAGGTAAGAGAAGGTGAGGATTTTTTTATGGAAGGTTTAGACAAAACATATCAGTCAGGTCATAAACCAACTCGACAGATGTGAGACCTCGAGTGCAAAGCAGCTGTTCATTCTAATGTAGTGGATCACAGTGGATGATGACTGGTGCTGCCTCACAACAAACGCTTGAACCCGAGAAGATTTTTTTTTTTTAAACCTTCTCTTGCTTTTTACAACTTCCACAATGCATGATTGATGCTGACCAATATAAGCATTACCTTCTCTTGCACACAACTTGGACTTGGTAAAGAAAAACATCAGTGTCCTCTTTATGCAACCCGAGGCTCCTCAGTCATGTTTTCTTTCTTTTTCAAATGCAAATTTGTTGTCTGGGAGGAAACACTAGCTCCCTGTATGATTGCATGCACACCTTTTAGTGAAGAAACGTGGACATTAATCACACACCATTGTGTTTTGTTTTTTTGTTTCCTGCTTTATTTTATAATTCCTTTCCCTAAAATCGCCTTAAAGTTAAGCTTCTTTGATTAGAAGAGCAACACAATAAAAAGGCATTTAGCTCCAAAAGCCGTCACCTGTCAGAGTTGAATATGTAATTAAGATAAATACTGAAGGAAGCACAAATACTTTGCTCAGTGCTGATGACTCGTTGTTGATCTATAAACTGAGACATTGGTGCTTGAAGAATTTTAAGAAAAAATGTTAATATGCTGAGAGTTCTGACCCGACCGGCCAACTTGAAATGGGAAGGCTATTTGTTTTGCAGATGGCAAATAAATGGCATATTTTTCCAGCTCACTTTTACCACCGTCATGTTTTGCCTTCCTCATGTGTCACACATGACAGGGTTTGGCAAAGTCTGGACCTCAGTCCACATCAGACCAGATAGCTGTTGACTCAGCAAATACCTTGTGCTGTAAATGCAATACATTACCATTAAAATGTATAGAAAGATGAACAAAGCCCTTTTAACTCCCCAACAATCCACAAACGAGTAAAGAGATGCAGCATCATCTATCCTGTGTTAATTAACCATGCATGACTTTAAGGCTTAATACAATTTAAACAGGTCAATTTTATACTTGCGTCAGCCCCAAGTGGACATTTGAGGAACTGCAATGCTTGATACTTCGATGCTGGCCTCCTTTCTTAGCCCGGTAGGATGCTGCTTGCACAATATCTTAAGTGTGATATTTCTACTTTTAAATACATTTTCTATTAATGAATGAATTGTTAGTGATGTTGACTACACAGTGTAGCTGGAGATGACTCACAGCGATCCCTCCTCCAGATGAATGAGGTTTTAATGAAGCTTTCTTCCTCCTTGTTGGCATCATTTTCACAGCAACCTTAACTGCTCAACCTTCACTGAGTGTTGTTGCTGCTGAGTTTTTGCATTAACTAGAACGTTTGCTATCAGCTCCTGACTGGAAATACCCTGTTTTCAATTTCTACAACTGGTGTAAATGTAAGAATATTTCAGAATCATAAATATTAATGGACTAACCGTCTGAGCAGTGCCAGCCTCGGTTTCACGCTGACCCAATCACACAGAAATGTGACGTTTGTGGTGCAGGCTAATCACAAATTCAGAGGTCACTCTGATGCAACTGATTGCAGGCGAAAAGTGTTATTTCTTTCACCAGGCTTGAATGTATTTTGGCTGTCTTGAATTTGGCAGTATGTCTCCTAAAGATACTCTCTGTAAAACTTTTTTTTTTAAATGTACCGTATGTGTTTTTATATGCTGTCAGACACATCATGAGCAACACAATAGAGGAAGCAACAGTGTAGAGTAACATCTAATGCTAACTGCTAAATGCCAACCCTGCACACGTGACCTTGTGTTGTTGATGAAATGCTAACTGCTAAATGCCAGTGTTAAATTAATGACTTAAAAATGTACAAATGAATTGATTGAATTTACAGCCAATCATTCTGGGTCTGGCCATGAATTAAGCCTAGATGTGGACCTCTGAGTCACAAGTTGTAGATGTCATCTACATTGCTTTGAATGATATTGGTCTTTGTGTGACTTCACAAAGATGGCAAAGGATTCAGAAAGGTCTGTGACCAACTAGAAATTAGTGGAAACACAGCTGCTTAGCAATCAGGAGGTTTGGAGGGAGCCATAGTACCACTAATCAGAGCTGCAGTGGTCGTCCTCCTGAAATGACGTTACAGACAGAGCTATATTTGCACAATGGAGCTCTGAAAAACAGACGTCAGACTTGTCACAGTGGTTTACAAAGAAAATATGTGT